TCAGCCCAGCCTACACTTCCCAAGTGATCCCTCAGCAGGCCTCAGAGGCCCAAGGACCCCCAGCACTTACCAGAGACCACAGACAGGACAGGTTTGCTTATGCTGTTTCCCTTAGAACCCCCACTTCACTCCTCCTGGGACCCCTGACCAGATGCCCCAGCTCCAGCCCCCCTCCCTCTTGCCTCGGTTCCTCCCTCTGGAGAATAAGACAATGAGGCCTGACCTGGGACAGCTGGAACACCAGCACAGGTCATTGGCCCCTTGACCCCTTGATGCTTATTTCCAGGACCAGACTGAGAGGGGCAGAGCATCCAGGAGCCCAGCCCCGTCCATCTCCATGGGAGATCTGAGGGGAGAAGGCCCAGGTCCAGGAAATAGATCTGCACCCCCTTGCTGTGGGACCTCTAGTCACTGACCAGCTCCCCTAGAGCCTGTTTTCTGGTCTGTAAAATGGGACGGATATCTTCTGTGCCCCCCACGCAGGGATGTGAGGAAGGTCAAAGTAAGTAAACAGGACTCTGTTTTGTAAATGGTAAAGTACAAGACCAGCACTGGGAGAGGGGGGCACAGGGGAGGGGGGCACCATGGGGGAGGGGGGATTTATGGGGGAGGGGGTCGGTGTGATGATAATCTGCTGCCACATTACCCATTTTACAGGAAATTTAAAAATAGAATATTTGTCATTGAGTTGACCTCACACATGTCAGATTAAACTGTGCTCCATGAGGTTTCCAAAGTAGCTCAGCAGGACATTCTGCCAAGGTACCTCTGGGTGAATTCGAACTGGCCATCTTTTAGTTAGCAGCTGAGCACATTACCAAGGAGTAAAGAGCTGGAAATTTTTGCCTAGCTGTTTCAGATCAAATTGTGTTACTCTAAAATATGTAAACCTGACGCTGTGGTTATAATCCAGTTTGGGAGTGGAGTTTCTTCGTCACGTGACTGAGACAGTATTGGTGTCAGGTATGTCTTAAATCAATCTCTTCTCAGACATCAAAGAGCATATGAAGCAGATTAACAAGCAGAGAGGAGGGAAGACAGATGCCACACCACATGAAATCTCTAATAAGCAAGAAACAGAAACAAAAGAGACAAGGACCGTCCAGAGGGAGACAGTCTTCCCCTCGAGACGGCACCCTGAAATCAGAGGACTAGCCTCCCAAACAGAGAGAGAATAAATGTCGGTTTGAGAAAACCACCCCCTTGTGGTATTGCAGTGGTTAAAACAGCACAGAACCGACCTGA